GAACCGTTCGACTGATTTGGCTAAATTTTAACACATATAGAAAGGAACTACTAACTTACTTAATGCCTATAACACTCCAGTGGCGTAGATATTGGGGTGTAGGTTCCCTTTTTCCGACCTAGGTTTACGCCACTGACCTTTTTGAAAAACTGGAACTATTTATAAATTCTGCGTTCAACTAGAAGAAAGTTTCCTCAGAAAATTTTTAATTTGACGCTTTGTTACAGAAATATTCGAGTTTGAGTGTTTGAAAAACATCTCCAGAAGCCCATTTGTAGGACATGGAAATCATACGTACTTGAACATGGGTAGTAAGTGATCGCTTTACCATAGCATACATTTGCAAATTGATGACATTTCAGTAAACAGTGTTTGTTTATACTTCAGAAAAGGTTTCTTGCACATAGTGTAGTTTTTTTGCACTCCAGAACTAACTGCGAAAAGCCCTTTGATTTCTTAAATTAAGAGTATGCCGACGAACATTTCGTTTATGGTTTTGCAAATGGGAATTCCGCTGCACGGGGAGACTATGCAACTTTTAAATATTATTAACAATATTAATGGGTCAAAAAGTTTTAAAATTTAAATCTACTAATTTGACTATTTCATTTGGTAGAAATTGACTAATTACACTATGATAGTTTTAGAAACTTTTTTTTACTAACATTGAGTACTCCAGCTTAGTTTAACTAATTTTGGGCCGCTGATTTAAAAAATGTAATTTGTTTTTTTCCAGGACGTCTAGGATTTAAAATAATTTCGTAATAAAATGCTCTGCTCAATCCCCTCAAAATGTAAGTGTTTTTGTTAGTATTTTAATTATTTTGGCATTAATTTAAATGTTCTGAAGTAATTGGTATACGGCAAATAGATCAAATTCAGGGCCGCACCAAGTGTTTTTGCCGCCGGGTGCAATTAAAAGCTTGCCGCCCCTTAAAAGCCCTATTTTAACTTAATAAAATTATTATGTATGTATTAGTGTTTTTTCGGGATCTGCTCCGTGTTGTCGGTTTTTGGTTCTTAAAAGAACCGTATGTCTGACGACGTTTCGGTACAATCTCATGTAACATCTTGAGGTCTTATCTGCTGGGCTGCTGTTGCTGCTCTGCGAGTTAGACGTGTAACGTGTAACATTACAAAATAATTTACTAGAACTACCCCTAAACGCTAGGTTTTGCTTAGCTAAAAATTTAACAACCGATATAATTCTTTCTAAAACAGAACACCATCTTTTCTTTTTACTGTTAATTAGTTTTTTCTGTAAATAATCTATTGTTGAGCCACACTTTAATGAAGTTTGTAATTGAATCATTTTGTTGCAACATTTAATATGATCATTAGAACTTTCATGTCAGCTTAAGGTTCGCGATAAATGTTGCCAATCTCGAAATCCATCTAGCCCCAAAGAACTAGATTCATTCCAAAATAACTTACATGGAAAACAAATCACAGAGTATATTTTTTAGAATATCCAAGTGCGTTGAACGGATTCACTATTTGGTAAAGTTTTAAAAAAATATTTATTTCAATAACTTTTAGTGCTAACGTCTTTGGGATAAGTTGTTTTCTTATTTGCCCTTTTCTACTACCATTAACCTTATTTTGTCAGATAAAGGTGTAGACCATGCACTTGGATCAGAATCAATTACAATATTAAAAAGTTTACGTCACTTTCTGTACAAATATTTTCTAAAATGCCGCCCCTCGATAGTTGCCGCCCGGGCGCAGTGCACCCTTTGGACCCTGGGTTGGCTCGGCCCTGATCATATTTATCTTAACAATATGACATTTTAAATACTAAAACTAAAACTTTAATGTATTTTATGTAAAAAAACAACCATTATTTGACATTTTTTGTCATTTATTTTAATTATTGAATTGAAAGGGTCCACAAAGTAAACAAATTTCGGTATTTTTTATCCAAATTAGGCCAACAAAATTTAATGCATTGTATAATTTTGCTTTTTTCTACCTTAAATTTATTAAATCGTATCAAATATCGAATTGAATTATAGTATTATTGTGCTTAATCCTCATCATCGTCGTACATCTTTTGCTGCAAATTCCAACAAATTCCAGCAATGAATACCAACTTCTTTCCTCTATACCCATAGATGTCTACCAATGCTCTAGATTTGCAGTTACTTGGTAAAATTGTATTTTAAATGAAATACTAACGCTAATTCTTTACAAAACGGAGAGCATTTTTTCAATGGGTGTAATCTTAGGCCCGATATGAACCAAGAACCTTTTCAATGACAGCTTTAACACTGCCATATGCCACAAGCTCGTCAACTTTGAGAGCATTTTTGAATGCTTGATCTTTCATTAAATGTCCTATATAAGGTCCATTTAATATTCCTGCAAAATTAAAGTAGTAGGTATATCTCATAAAATTTTGTAATGAAATATTGCGTTGGTTTTTTTTTGGGCGTAAAGGAATCGCAAGAAAAATAAAACAAATTTACAACGACGACATAAAAGTTCGCCCCATTCTCGTTCTCTGCCACTTCCATTACCACTTACATTTCCTGCTCTTTTTTCATTTTTGGTTCTTAAAATCACTTTCAAGTAAAAATACAATTTAAAGTTTAAATTTTAAATGTTAAAAATTAATAGATGCACTTTAATGTGCTTGAACGATAAATTATTATTATCAAATAATAGTCGAAGAGTAATGTTTATACCGAAACCCATTTACTTTGTTGCCTTTTTAATTTAATTAGTAATTAAAAAAACGACACAAAAATTTCTAAAAATAATACTTTTTACCAAAAAAAACTTTATAATTTTAGTTTTAGTATTTAATAAAGCACTTTTCTGCAAGTGCTTTATTAAATATCCCCTATATAATACTACTATAATAGTATACGGCTACAATGAAACAAAAAAAAATCTATTTGACATTTATCTATCGATGACTTTGTATGGAGTCCCTATATATTTTTGACAAAAAACGACAAAAATATAGGCACTGAACACCCAAAATGGATTTAAGGCAAAATAATTTAATAAATAATCAAAATATTAACGAAAAACTTACATTTTGAGATAATTGGGCAGAGCATTTTATTACGCAATTATTTCGAATCCTAGACGTGGCGAGTGGAATTTTTGAAATCAGCAGCCTGGACGTACTCGAATATATTCAAAGCTTCTAATAAAAAATTGACCAGGGTAACTTTCTTTCCCCAGTTAAACACAGAATTTAAAAATAGGGCAAATTTTTCAAAAACGTAAATATCTACGCCAATGGAGTGCGTTGAAAATAATTTTTATAGGCAGTTATGGATTTAGTATTTCCTAACTATATTTGTAAAATTTAAGCCAAATCAGTCGAACGGTTCAAAAGTTATGAGAAAAAAAATTAGTTTCAACTTTTGAAATCTTTATCTCAATTTCAATTTTCAATTTTTCGATAAATGTTTTCCTAAGAAAATCTTTTTGTTTTTTAATTCTCTATCGACTTGCAAAATTAAGATCATTAAACCCGGGACACCCTGTATATACTGTACTTTTAAGCTATACATAAGCAAAATCACGATACACAAAAACCGGTATGCTGGTTATGAAACGAAAACTTGTCGACTCCGCGCATGCATGCGACGTCACATGCGAACCAGATTCAAATGTTACAAACAGTTTTGTGTAAGCGTATGCTGGATTTATGCAGCACAAATTAACATTAAGTTAACATTAACATTAAGATTAACATTATCATTAAGAAATTAAATAAACGTAATCCATTGGAAGCTTTTACGCAACACATTAAGTTAACATTAAGAGATGATAATGTTAATTTTTATTCCTCCTGCGCAGATTTGCGGCGCAATTTTTAAATACACCGTGTCAGTAATGCCAACATACCGGAAATAAAATGAATCGTACTGCTGAATGATTGGTTTTTTATTCAATGATTGTGTTCTTTGGTTTATTGTTTGACTTGGAGTTTATAGTTTTCATTTATTTTACATAACAGATGCTAAACGGGATTAAAACAAAATTCAAACAAACCAATAATGTCAGATGTCAAAATTACTTTCACTTATACGCATGCTTAATTTGCCACTAATTTTGTTGCATAAAAAATACCCAACTTAAATTATCTTAATGTTAACTAATGATAATGTGTGCTGCATAAATCCAGCAAAACTCTCTTAAAATAGTAAAAATTCTACTATTTGAATTGGTACCAGCATTTTTAACTAATAAAATAGGTAGTCGTTTTCACTTTTAAATAGTTATTTTTTACTACTTAAATAGTTAAAGTTTGACTAATTTAAGATTAGTCATAATTTTTGACTATTTCTGAGAGTTAAAAGTAACTAATTTCTTTAATCATTTGCGGCCAACAACAATATATTGTTCGAGTTAAATGCATAGGCTCCATGGTTAAATGGCCCATAAAAACAAACAAAGATGCAAAAAGTTTGGCTCAAAACAGCAAAAAATATATTCAACTTTAAAATATTATGAGCAATATTTATAGACAAATAAATTGATTTTTATGAAAGTAGCTAATGGCCAATTTGGTTATGACATACGCTTGACAAGCTTGACAACCGACAGACCCAAGTTCAAACCCCGGCTGGGTCAGAACTTTTATTTAATTTAAATCTACTAATTTGATTATTTCATTCAGTATAATTTGACTAATTATTAGTGACTGCTTTTTCACTATGACAATTAGTCAATAATGACTTATAATTAGTTATTTTTGACCAATTTTGAAAAAATTAAAGATGGCGGAAAGTGATATTGCTCAAATATGTACCTTCTGTTCAAAATCAGTTTTCAGTGATGAAAATCAAGTAAAGTGCCAAGGTATTTGTGGAAACGTATACCATAGTGCTTGTGTAAAAATAAAGGACTATGAATGGAAACTATTAAACTCAAAAAACTGAACAGTTATGTGGGTGTGTGGTTTGTGTCAAACATCGCGGTTAAATTTCAAAGATATATTAAGTGTTCTTAACTCGATGAAACTTCAACAAGCAAAAATGGAATCAATCTTATCTACCCAAAACAACGACATTAAATCAATAAAAGGTGAATTGAATAAAATAAATGTCAATAAACAAGATTTAATACCCGATGCAAGTGCTGCCACCTACGGTCAACAAAAGAAATCTCACTGTAAATCAAAAAAAAAAAATTCTTAATTATCACAAACGCCAACACAAAAAGTAAACAGATTAAGATTCCTGTCTTACCTATAGTGACGCTGTCAGTGATTCTGACAGCGTAGACACTGTAGTTGACTTAACCGCAATAAATAAACATAAAATTCAGACAAGTGATAAAGGTCACATTATTACTGGAAATAGTGATGTAGACGAAGACATAGTGGGTGTCCAACTCAAACTTAGAAAGTGGTACCACATATCTAGACTGCCACCAAATTTAGACGCAAATAAACTTTCAAATTACATTGTAAACAAACTCAAGATTACTGACATAGTATGCAATAAAATTGAACCTAAATTTGCTACAAACATAAGTTTTAGTTCGTGTAAACATAGAAGACTCAAATACACTTTTTGACTCTAAAAAATGGTCTAAAGGAATAATAATAAGCAACTATAGATTTCGAAAATTTTTATTCTCAAATAAATGCCCATGAAATCTTAAAATTACCCATTTACCCATACAACGCACAATCTGTCCGCAATAAACTTGACGAAATAGAAATATTTAATACAACAAACAAATATAGTGACATAATGTGTTTTACTGAAACACATGATGAACATGATTTTTTTAACATTAATGGATACTATAATGTATCATATTATAATAGAATACACTCCACTAAAGGGGGCACACTAATATTATGCAAAAATGGCTTAAATGCCACAAATTTGCCAGATTTGGTAAACCTGTCAGTGGAAAATCACATTGAAATATCAGCATGTGTCTTACAAGATGAAAATCTAATCATTGCAACCATCTACAGACCCCCAAATGGAAATTTTGATACATTCTTAAGCCAACTTGTTAAACTTATGGAAAAATGCAATTCAATAGAAAAAGAAATTGTCTTAAATGGAGACTTCAACGTTCATTTTGGTACTGATAAAACAAATTGTCTTAAATTAACTGACCTAGCTGGAACATTTAACCTAGCTGGAACATTTAACCTTCATAATAACAATTGACCAAGCAACTAGAGGAAACAACTGCCTGTACAACTTTTTAATTAACCTAAATCAAAGACCTTTTTTCTGTAGGGTAATTCCAGGTATTTCTGACCATAAAGCAATTGAATTAAATACATCTAAATTAATCCTAGCAAAAAAAGATGAGTCTACTGAAATATATAGGCCAATTTCCGCCCTCGGTAAGTTTACCTTTTATAATACTGTTAGTCAGTGAGACTGGGATTTTATCAATAATTGTAACCTCACTTTGGAAAAAAAGCATAAAACTTTCAAAATATAATAACAAACGCAATATATCTATCTTTCCCTGTACGCAAAATACCCAATGATATATTATCAAATCCTTGGTTTACAGGCTCACTCCATGTAATGCCTTACATTTTCTGCAGGAATTACATAAAAATTATCCTGACCCTGACCTAGATAAAGAGATTAAAACATATCGCTCTAAGTATAGAAAAGAAATAAAAAAATCAAAAAGAGAATACAATGCCAATTATATTAAAAAAATCGGGAAATACTACCAAAGCATATTGGAATCTTTTGAACTCATCACGAGGTACTAACCAAAAAAAGTAAACCCATCATTAAACCCCAATACACTTAATAATTTCTTTACGGGTATAGCAGATAAATTACTAAATAAAATCGGAGACGCAGTGAATAACCCAAATGACTACTTAGTCAATAAACCCTCTATAGAATTCAATTTCCAACCTGTCATTTTTTGGAGGTAAGAGATGTGTTGAAGTCACTTAAACCTAAAAAATCACAAGATCATTATGGAATATCCACTGAGCTCTTGCGAGAAATAACCGATATTATTTATATTCCATTAACCAAACTCATTAATTTATGCATCGTTGAGGGATATTTTCCCAAAATCTATAAATTAGCCAGAGTAATTCCAGTACACAAAAAGGGCTCAGTGGATGACCCAAGCAACTTTAGGCCTATCTCAATACTACCTGCCCTATCTAAAGTACACGAAACAATACTCAAAAACCAAATATTAAAACATTTAAAAAAAAATAATTTATTTTTCAGAAATCAATTCGGCTTTAGGGCTAAAAGATCGACTACAGAGGCGATCATCTTATGATACAGCAGGTAGTGGAGGGAATGGAGAAGGGCGAGCTGACGGCCGCAATAATGTACGACCTGCAAAAAGCGTTCGACTGTGTTCCTTTCAAGCAACTTCTTGATAAGTTAAAACATTATAATTTCAATAAAAATAGCGTACAAATGATCCGATCCTACCTTACGGACCGAATGCAATATGTACATGTCCAGGGAAAATCATCGGAGGTCAGGGGGGTCAGTCATGTGGTTCCGCAGGGTTCGGTGCTTGGACCCATCCTTTTCCTCATCTATATAAATGATCTGAAGAGGGCTGTGCCCGGTGCTGACCTTGTGTTATTCGCTGACTATACCACGGTTCTCTTACGATCAAAAACCCTGCAGAAAATTAAAGTATCCCAGAGCACATATGAACAAAATATAACGTCTTAAAGTCTCTGCAAACAAACTTCATCTCAACACTGCAAAAACTAACAATATAGTCTTTACCCATAAAAGAGATGAAAGCCTGACTAAGTACAACGCTACAGAGCCTAAATTCCTAGAGGTGGTTCTTGACCCTTTATTAAGGTGGAACTTACATGTAGACTATGTGGCTAAGATATCAGCTAAATACATTTTTCTATTTAGAAACATTGTATATATATTCTACCTTTTTCGGTAACTATTTCAGCATATCATTCACTTTTTATATCTAAAATTCGCTATGCGATGACATGCTGGGGACATAGTTGCCATATAGACAGGTTGTTTTGTCTACAACGCAAAATAATCAGAATAATTCTTAAATTAAAATACCAAGAAGATGTTACTAATAAATTCAAAGAATTAAAACTCTTAAGAGTACTTGCGAGGCTCTTGTAAACAAGGCTGCTTATAAAATAAATCTCGAAATCTATAGCCACGATCCCGCAATAGAAACAGAATATGCCTGGAATTCCTACGTATTTCTTCTAGCAGATTTAGCTTAAATTATTATGGACCTAAATTTTTAATAAAATTCCAGTTGACATGCACTTGTTGCCACTAAAGAAATTTAAAATCAAGTTAAAAGACTTTTTGGTTAATAAAGCATATTGTGATATAAATAGACGATGTAATTAATATTAGTTGATCAAGTTTGTTCTGCTATTATATAAAATATATTTGTTTGCGACTCACCCCTGTAAAATCTTTATTTATTGTGCGATTTTAACTGGATTTGTTTAAAAGTATAGATCTCTTGATAAACTGTATTTTTGGAGCCATATTTGTACAAAATACAAGACCTACTATGTCAGTTTTAAGAGTAAATTTTTAATTCATATAAGCGATTTTTTTAAACAAAATCTAAGCATCTTGTTAATCTGCGTAGCGTTTTGGGGGTTGTAAAAACTGGTTTCCATGCAGTTGGTAGTCTCTGTGTATCGCCTCTTGTGTTGAGGTTTCTTGGACGTTTTACTATTTCAATGGCTTCACGGATGGTACGTTTTGTCATGTGTTCGATGCTGGCCAAAACCCTTGGTTTTTTCAAAGTCTAAAAAAAACAATTTCTGTGAGCCGAAGAAATTACACAATTAATATTATCAATAAAACCATTGCTGGAGTCGAATAGAAAACCTAGATCTCTAAACGTTGTGTCTCTGACTTAATATATATGGTCAATTATGTAATTTTTTAGTACTTTTAATTTAGAAGTTCACCTTGCATTTTTGTGCATTTACTGGTAGTTTATTCGCAGTTCACCATTTACTAAGAATTATAAGGCTATTTTGGATACACATACAATCATCAAGGGACACAATTTTTATTATAAATTTTTAGATCGTCAGCCTACATTAAGCAGGGCTTATTCAGAACTGAAGGTATATAGTTGACAAAAAGGTTAAAAAGCAGGGGACCTAAAATAGATCCTTGAGGAACACCAGATAAAGCGATAAACTCTTTTGACCGGAAAAATCTGTGATGATAATAATAATAATAATGTTTATTGTAAAAAGAACAAGGTACATTTCACAATTGGCAAGAGATCCTCCACTCTCCCTTGCAACATTTTAAGTACATTAATAACTAAATTATTTTCATAGAAATATAATTCATAAGCAAAATCTTATAACAATATAAAAAATATTAAAAATAAACAACTTCAAATTCATTATTCTTAAATGTCTAACTGCAAACTTTGTACATGGTTTCTTAAAACCTGTTTAAAATTTAACTCAGTTAAACTTAAAAAACCAAGTATCTCATTCAAAATAGTAGGTACATTGTATTCAAAGCATCCTTTAAACTTGCTAGTACTATGCTGTGGAATTGTATAGTTATTTCTTCGAATATTAATATGATGAATCGATGACCGTAACTTTAACAAGTTGAAAAGGTAATCTGGACTCTTACATTTTAAATAAGAAAAACCCATACTTATTAAAACAGATTAAAAAAATATTTAGCTCTTGTGTGATATTTAAATAGGGCTCCCTAAAATCAGCACAAACATACAATTGTTTTTTTGTCGATGCCGTTTTTACGTAAAAGCTTCCAAACATTGCCAGTATTATTTTGATTTCTTTTAATAACATATTCAAAATATGCCTTTTGCTCTCTACGGATGGCTAGATTAGTATAATTTCTCAATTGTATATAATATTGCTTATGTGTATTACTTCTAGTTCTTAAAAATCTTTTATGTGCTTTGTTTTTTGTTCGAATCATTTCTATAATATTATAGGTAATTTTAGGAGGGCTTTCGCGTTTAAATGTTTTTGTTTTCAAAGATGCATGTTTGTCAAAAACTGAAATTAAATAATTTCTACCTTTTCATCAATGTAATTGGTTTCATTAATAGTGCTCCAATTAATTCTGACTGCATCAAGGGCAAAATTATTCATATCAATATTCTTAAGATCCCGAAAAGAAAAAGTATTTTGGGTATTATTATTGTTGTCAATGGCTAAGTTAGCAAAAACAAGCATATGGTCAGTTATGTTACATAAATCATTCACCTTTAGGTCATTATCAACACATATAACATCAATTAAAGTTATAGTTCGATAAAAAATTGTTAAAATTAATAGTGTCATGTACATTTTTATTTTAAAAAATAACATTAACATCCCGTCTTAAAACTATATGATATACTCTCCAATACATCACTTACACAAATTCTGCAGATTAATCTTTGGAGGACGATAAATTACACCTAGCCCGACTTTTGTATTTTTAAGATGTAGTATGAGCCAAAGTTGCTCAATTTCACCACTACTTGTACTCTCTTAATAAAAAAACATTAAAACAAATATCTTTTTTAATATAAACACCTAAACCACCACCCCTGGATAAACGATCACTTCTTTATTATTTCAAAGCTTTCCAGAGACATTAAATCTTTAAATATTTAAAAACTGGAGTTAAGGGATCGAATGTTGACATGGGAGATTTTTAGTTTTTTTGATTTTGGATTGTTTATCTTTTTGAAATATAAGAAACTCCATTGGAGTATCTAATTATTAAATCTTTCTCACCCATATTCGTGCTTCTTGTATGTTCCTGTTTAATTTGTTTGTAATATTCTCGCTGCAGCAAAGTGTTGTCCAAAGAAATGATAATTTTATTATCAGTTCCTTGTAACAATATTTTATTTCTAATAATATCCATAGCTTCTTCTGGGTTTTTTAAGGCTACTTTCAGCGGTCTGTTTTGACCATTTTTCCCTAATCTAAATGGTTTAATGGCTGTAAAGTCTATTTCTTTAGACATTTTACTTAAGATTTCAATTGTTTTATTTTTGTCGTGTTCTTTCTTTTTTGTCTCTTCTCCATTAATTTCATTTAAGTTGAAACTTATTATATTATTTTCTCTCCTCTTACGTTCACCAATTTCTGACCTACCTTTAACAAAACCGTGTTGGTAGATATATAACCTATTCTTTACAATTTTAAAAAATACATTATGCAAAAGAAGTTCATAAACCTTGGCAAAATTGCAAATAATAGCAATGGACCGGTAGTTTGAGCTAATAGTTTTATCACCTTTTTTAAGATAGGAGAGACTCTGGAGGATTTCCAAAGTAAAAGAAAGGTGTTAGAAGCTAAAGAAAGGTTAAAAAGCTTTGTTAAAGGTTTAATAAAAGACATATATAAGGAATTTTTTAATTGCTTCTTCGACTTGTGCTTCAGATACGGAATTTAGAATAAATATGGGAAAAGAATTATTAAAAAGGACATTGCTAGTATTTTCATGGTTATAACGTGATTTGAAAAAATCTGAGAATTCATTTACAATGATTGATGGGTTGCTGTTAATATTCATAGAGATAGAGTAACCCGATTTGAAAAAATCTAGTATTTTCATGGTTATAACGTGAGATAGAGTAACCCGATTTGAAAAAATCTGAGAATTCATTTACAATGATTGATGGGTTGCTGTTAATATTCATAAAGTTGGGAAGCGATGTTTGATTATTTTTACCAGAAATTTTTGAATGTTGGTAAAATATTTTTTTGAGATTCATGAATTTCATACTTTATATTTCTCGGTAATTGTTTATAGTCATGAAAAAAGTTTAGGTTTTTAGTTCTTTTGTATTTATTCCATAATTTATCTTTATTTTTTAGGTTTTTATTAAACTCTTTGCAAGCCACTATATTTGGGTATGTCTCATTTAACTTTAAATTCCAAATATAACTTTTTAAGTATTTTTGATTGTTTAAAAAATTATATTTTTTTGGATTTTTAAATTCAGTAAACCTTTGCAAGTATATACCTACCAAAAGCAGTACAGTTTTTACCCATTTTATCTTTTTTTTAAGGTTTTAAGCAAAATATCAAGTCATCTACGCCACCAATTAAAAAAAATATTTAAATTTAAGTTTAAAATTAATTAAATAGTTTTTAGTATATATCATTATTTATTATCAAAATACAGTACGTACTTTTATTACTCGTCACCTTCGTTGCCGGTTTTATTAGACTACTGCGTTTTTTTATATATAAAAAAACGCAGTAGTCTAACAAAACCGGTAACGAAGGTGACGAGTAATAAAAGTACGTACCTGCTCCAACAGAATCACGTAGAATTTTCTGGAACAACGACAATAAATAAACCACCTACACGTTTCCAGTAGCAAAATAAGACTGATTCACTGCTCTAGTCAAGAACGTTTGACCAAAAATCATCCCCACCAATATTCCATTTCGTAAATAATAGTAAGTGGCGTAGATGACCCTTACCTTATGGGACACAATATCTAGAGTCTTAAAAACTAAACAAATTAAAAAAAAAACTAAAATTTGATAAATTGGGTGAACTTGATGTTTACTCTATGAGTTTATAAGGTTAAACTTAAGAAACAGTGCAATTTACATTTAAAAAACTATTTTGCACATTTAGTTTCGGGTGAGGGACCGGTAGTGTAGGTGACATTATAAATGTTTCCAATTAAATAAAAATATATTTTATATATTTTTTACAATTTATTTTATATAAATGCGCTAAAGAGCATGATAGTTTTTAAGTGATGTCCTAAAAACTTGCAAAATATTATTATTTAAAAAAATATTTAGCCGGGACAGGTCATTTTTAAGTTAAATGAGACATACCCATTTATACAAGAAGAATTTGTTGTTGTTGTTGTTTTACTTTCCAAAGTTTTTTATAATAAAGTGTGGTGTTGTTCGAGATTTTAAATAATGCAAGAATTCTCTGGGAAGTCGTTTAATCTCTCAATATGGCCAGTCAGAGAGAGTATTCCAAAAATACTTGAAAAAAAGATCTACAAAATACATTTAATTAAAACCCCAAATTATGCTTCTAAATTTAAATAAATAGGACAGGACTATGTATAAGAAAAACGTGGTCACAAAATGTAAAACCAAATGTAAGTATAGTATAAAAGTTTAAAAAATATATTAAATTAAATAATTTAATTATATTTTATGTCAATTTTAGTTATTTACTTTATAACGATAAAATAATAAACATACCTAATTACTTTATGTTGATTACTATTTAATAATATTTGCATATGTATACAATCGATATAATTTATTATGGTATTTTATAAGCGCTTAAATTAATTCGTATTAACGTAAATAAGTGTGTGCGATTGTGTGCCATTATTTTGAAACGCGTTGACCGATTTTAATATATTTTGACATAGGCTTCGATAAGCTCTATTTGACCATGTGGACAAATTTTAAATTTTCATTTCTTTAAGGCCTGCTAAGATCTGCTAAATGGGTCGAAATTTAGAGAACCACCATCAGGCAATTTTTTTACGAAAAAAAATGGATAGCGCCTTTGATTCAGACGTGCCTTAAATATCTTTGAATTTGAGCTCAATACCTTATTAAGGGTGTTTGTCACAATACACTATGGTTTCTAGAAAGGAATTTTTTGACCAAAAGCATTTTAATTTTTAATAAACACATTTGTGGATATAATAAAAATAAATTCTCCAGTCAACATTCTTCATTTGAATTTTTATTTGCACATACGAAACCAAACGAAAGTCTCGAAAAGTTGTAGTTTAGGTGATGCCCTAACTTACATAAGAAAGTCGTCAATTGTAGACACAGTTTAAAGCTGAGGCATTATTTTGTTTTTTATAATCTCCAGTTTTAATTGATATAAACATAAAATCGTAATTTAACCCCATTAAAAAAATTGTTTAAATATAAATAGGGTGTATTTGTTTTGAAAACTTTAAATTGTAAGATTAAGATGGACTTAAACAAATTCATCATCTGAGATTATTACATAATATAACTTTCTTCTAATGATTGCTACGCTTTAAAAAAATATTTTTTTAAGCTATACAAAGTTTAAAAAATGTGTACTAACGATTTTCGGGACACCCTGTATAAAATGCTTGCAAAAATTTACTTTCAAAAACCTAAAAAAAAATTAAATAAATCTACGGTACATTTTTTAAGGGGATTTCTTAAAAATGATACAAGAATGGCAGTTTAATTTTAACGACACACTTGAAATTCTTCGGCACAGAAATTGAGAAACAAATTATATTAGTGCTACTATTCCGAGTTAAATTTTTATCAGGCGTAATAATGGATACAATTCGGCAAGTCTATCCACATAAGACATTTCTAAAAGAAAACCAAAGTTGAACTCTTTAAAATTGCGTTATTTGTTTCATTCAAATTTATTTGGATAGGTATTTTAGGATTTTTGTTAACAATATTATCACTAATATAACCACACAAAAATTTAATCAGTAAGATAATGCAGCATATAACTTCTAAAATAAACCAAAAACCAAAAAAAATGCCCAACGGTGAAACTGTCGATAGAAATTGGTTGATTTACTCTGAGAATAAAAATGCCGTATTCTCCTTTTTGAATGCCGGTCATCTTATTTACCTGCAATCGCCCATCGTCAAAAAGGGTTTTTGGATTGGAAAAACATAGGTCGTATTAAAGACCACGAGAAATTATCAGATCATAGAAAATACTTTCTTCAATGGAAAACTTTGGAAGCCAGATTGAGAAACTCACAATGTATTGATGACGAACTGCAAAAAGAAAAACATTTGGAAAGTAAGCGATGGCGTCATATCCTTCAAGCTGTTTTAAATGCAATCATGTTTTGCGCCAAAAACACTTTAGCATTACGAGGATCAAGGACAGAAATTGGCACACAAGAAAATGGAGTGTTTTTGGATATTATAGAACTGCTCAGTAGGTACGACAAAACATTGAAAGAGCTCATCTTGAATCATAAAAAGTATTTATCACCACAAATTCAAAATGAGTTTATCAATTTACTGCAAAAGAAAGTTCGTAACGAGATTTTATCAAGGATTCAGAAATCCAAGTATTATGGTTTGCTGTTTGACTGCACGCCTGATGTCTCTCATAATGAAAAGATAACAGAAATCATTAGTTACTTCCACATTGACAATGGAAAAGTGTCTATAAAAGAAAGTTTTATTGACTTTATTTGCCTGGAAGAAAAAACTGGCAAAGGATTTGCAACTGATATAATGAAGAAATAAGAAGAGAATAAGCTCGATATTCAAAATGTGAGGGGTTAGGTTTACGATAATGGAGCCAATATGTTAAAAACATTGTGGTGTGCAAGCACAAATTTAGGGGAGACATGATTTTGCGATATATGTACCATGTGCAAGTCACCGCTTAAATTTGTGGAAAGCATCTTCAAATTTTTTTCTTGTTCTACAACTCGTTGGGCCGTCCTCAAGAACCCATTGAACATTTCATTTAAATGTAATGTTCAATGGGTCCATTGGACGTCAAAAGCTAATGCCATAAAACCATTGAATTCCCAAATTAAGGCAGTTTGTGGAGTTTTTTAAGATATAATTGCCAATCCAATCAATCCTGACACCAAATTATCAGGCAAAAATCTGACCAAAAATATTGGTTCAAGGTTTTTTTTTTCGACGACTGGGATCAGGTATTAAGTAGTTACACAAGCTTTGCAAACAAAAAGTTTGACTTTGGAAAAAGCTGCACGCCTGATTCAGTGTTTGAAGAATTTACTACAAGAACTTCGCGACACAGAATTCAAAGAATGTTTTACACGTGCCATTGTATTAGCTACTACTCTAAAAGTAAGAAATGTCAACAAGAGATCAAGAAAGAAGAAAAGATTGGAGTTATATGAAGGAGAATACGACGCGCCCGAAATTTTAGAAAATCAACAGTTTCGCATTGATATTAACGAGGTTGATAGGTTCATAGTTGAAATCGATTGGAGGTATGAAAAGATAATGGCCAATGATTTTGGATTCTTGTCTGGCGAGTCTATGAAAAATATGTGTATCACGGAATTGAAGAAAGCAGCGATGAATCAACAATTGACCAGAAAAGATTTTCGATTTTGGCTATTTTATCGATAGAAAACGAAGTTAACAGAAACATTTATTTCGACGATATTATTGACGAATTTGCTGCAATAAAGTCGAGAAAAAATCAATTGTAAATGTTAGAAGTACATTTTTCGATCACAGGCTTTTATGTAATACAGATATACAATATCTGTATAAGTGAATACTATGACTAATAAATATATGTACTCAGATAACAACCGTAAGGGGCATCAAAACATCGCCTTCAGATATTAATGGGAATACACGCACGTGATTGGTATATGAGAGCAAGAAATGATTGCAAACATTTCACTTTTGCTGAATAGTTATCGCAAAATTGTAGATGTAATACTAGATCTAAACTACATCTTGCGAAAATTGTTGATTTTAGGTCATATTATAACTAAAATTTTCAAAAAATTGACTTACACCATATGGTTAATTTGTGAAGACTGCATTTGTATAAAAAATATGCATAATTTTATTTGGAATTCCAAATTGGAATTGATCTTAAAATCAACGAGTTAACACGTTCATGTTATGATCACGTTTATAAATTAATTTATCATTAATTTATTTATGAATTTGTAAAAAGATACCTAATTTTGATTAAAATAAGATATCTTTCTATAAATGTAGACAATTGTCAAAAAAACTAAAATAAATGACTTAAAGAAAAAGATCTTTTGGATTATTACTTATAATATAATGACCAAAATTTCGCAATAAATCAATTTTATGAATGATTAACAGCTGAGTTTTCGACTTATCTTAATTTGATTGTTTTTAAATTAGTAATTATCTCTAATGGTCTTTAGGTAATAACTGAAGATAATTACAGTAAAGATACAAAGAGAGTTCTGCAGCGGAAGTCACCCAGACAGGTGACGTAACGCGTTGGGTTGGTAGCGCTGTTTTCCGAAGGTGGCGCCACCTATAGATAAGCAATACAGAAATTTCGAACTAGAGATAAGGGAAAGGAAGCTGGTGATAAGGGGGTGGGCGTGACTTAACAGTGGTTTGGTCACCCGGCATCCGATAATTGGAGATTAATAATATAAATTTAATTTTTAACGCCATTTTAAATTGTGTCGTAAATTTTTTAAAGATAAGGATATATTTTGAATTATTAATATAAATTTAATTTTTGACGCCATTTTGAGTTGCTGACGTCAGATATTTATTATTTTCCCGCCAAAACGTGCGACCTTCAAAGCACCAAAATTGGATATATTATTAGTCTATTTTTAAAAAGTATTATTTAGTCTTAATATTATCGTACAGTAATAATGATTAGTGCAAAGGAAATTGAAATGGCAATCCAAAATATTGATAAATTTTCGGAAAATGTGGTAAAGAAGGTGAAGAAAAATTTAAAAATAAATATCCTACTTAACAAGAAATATATCGAAATTTTTTGAAAAAGGAAAAAATTAAAAAATGGGTTAGTCAAAAAGAATTTTTGGAGCAGCATCTTAATGCTAAGATTGTAAATAACCAGTATGGTAAACATTTTGAGACGTGCCCCTGCGGCCATTCCAAGCCCATGGACAGGACACATCAGAAACATGTCTAAATATATTCTTGTTACTTCCTTAAGTTTACTTATTTTTTCTACGAGTATTTATGAGAAGTATTAGCCAAATTTGGCCGCATGGGCGTGGAATGGCCGCCTGGTCAAATTCTGATGAAGGTCCAGATACATGTCCATGTTGTATGGTTTTATTTTATGTGAAAGAAGCTAATGAGGTGTTAAATAAGTTACCAAAAATTACGTGCTGTTGTAAAATTAAATGAATAAACTTTAATATATATTCCTTAACAAAACTATCTGAGCTCAGTACCTAAAATGCGTTGCGTTCAACAACCCGAAAAACTACCTATAAATAATTTAGATTTATTTGAAACCAGTTCTGATGCTAGTAAACATGGTAATTTACTACCAAATTCCTTTAGAGCAATTTTTTGTGGTCCTAGTGGGTGTGGTAAAACAAATGCTTTATTAAGTTTAATATTTAATCCTAATGGAGCTGAATTTGAAAATATTTACGTTTATTCAAAATCTCTTTTCCAACCAAAATATCAATTATTACAAAATGTTTTAAGCAAAGTAAAAGGTGTGGGGTATTTTCCATATAAAGATAATGATGAAATAATTGAACCTATGAAAGCTCGAAACAATTCAATTTTCATATTTGATGATGTAGCTTGTGATAAACAAAATAAAATACGCGAATGGGTAGACATAAAAACATAGACGCTGCATACTTATGTCAAACATATTCAAAAATACCAAAACAATTAATACGTGATAATTGTAATATTATTGTGCTATTTAGACAGGATGATATGAATTTAAAACATGTATTTGATGAACATGTCTCACCTGATATGCCTTATGATAAGTTTAAGAAAATATGCTCAGAATGTTGGAATGAAAGTTATGGTTGTTTAGCTATTATAAAAGATTTTCGTTTAAACAATGGACGTTATCGAAAGGGATTTGATAAATATATAAATATGTAGCTAATATTAGTAGTCACACTTACACCACACCATAATCATGCAACACACAAAGGAAAAAATTAAACTTGTTAAAGTTTTAATTAAAATGATCGGCCTTAATATTTTTTTAAGTTGAGTAATAATGATAGACTTTAAGCTGTTATTAATATTTTTGGTAAGTAACCTTATAATCTTGGTAGAACCGCTGAAAATACTGTCACAAAAACCGATAGAAAAACTACAAAAACTGCTATAAATACTGAAAAACTGTCGCAAGAACTGATAAAAAACTGCAAAACTATTACAAAAACTGATAGAAAAACTAAAAAAAACTGCTAGAAAAACTGCAAAACTGCTATAAGTTTTAATTAAAATGATCGGCCTTAATAATTTTTTAAGTTGAGTAATAATGATAGACTTTAAGCTGTTATTAATATTTTTTGCTAAGTAACCTTATAATCTTGGTAGAACCGCTGAAAATACTGTCACAAAAACCGATAGAAAAACTACAAAAACTGCTATAAATACTGCAAAACTGTCGCAAGAACTGATAAAAAACTGCAAAACTATTACAAAAACCGATAGAAAAAAGGCAAAAAACTGCAAGAAAAACTGGAAAACTGCTATAAATACTGCAAAACTGCAATAAATACTGCAAAACTGTCGCAAAAACCGATAGAAAAACTGAAAAAAACTGCTAGAAAAACTGCAAAACTGTCGCAAAAACCGATAGAAAAACTGCAAAAACTGCTTTAAAAACTGCAAAACTGTCACAAAAACTACAGGCTGTTTGGTAATTATAAAAGACTTCCGTTTAAACAATGGGCGTTATCGAAAGGGGTTTGATAAATATATAAACATGTAAAACAACTATATTTAGTATCATTAGTAATCATGGCACCAACCACTGTCAATGTAACTGAAAAAATTAATGAACTCTCTCGAAATATTAGAAAAAAATATTTAGCTCTTAAATTGGGGAAAGCTGAAAATGATGCTACATTAGATAAAAATTTTAGACCAATCATAAAGCCTCTTGAAAAAATGGCATATTTTTTTTTGCTCTTTTAGTTCCACCCTTACTTCTTAAGAAGTCCCATAAGTCAACTGAATGGCTTGTGCGGGTTAGGGGTAGGAACGGACCGCGGGCTTAAAGTCCCCTCCGAAGGACTATTACACAATTATTGTGTAATAGTCCTTCGGAGGGGACTTTATAGGACAACACAAATAAACAGCCATACCCCTGGTGGGATTCGAACCCACGACCTCCGGCTTGTAGTCAGCAGCACTAACCTAACTATTACAGCTAGCAAAAAAAAATAAAAAACAATCTCCTATAAAATATAAAGCTATTGATAAAATACTGAATCATCCGCCAGAAAAGATATTCAAGCCCCAGATAAATCATTAAATATCTCAAGCATACGTTTGATCCTGAAAATGACACCACTAATGAAAATAATCCAAATGATTTTTATAAAAGCGAATATGACCCCAATAAAACATCCCACCCCACATTTTATGGAAATGAAACTATTTATGAACATGATCCAAATGATTTTTATGATAATGAATTAAGCTTAAGTAGAACACTCGACAACGAATCAATCATGGAAACAATTCCGGAAGATTCTATAGCAGAATATTTGGATTTTTTCAATGAATTACCTAGAAATTTAGTTGAAGGACAAATGAGAGATACTAGCAATGAATATGATCATACTTATATTCACCACGATTTGGAGACAGGCAAGATCAAATTTGGGGATTCAATTGTGGAGTTTAAAGGTCCTGATTTTTTTTTGAAAATAATCATTTTTTCAAGGGGTCCCCAGGACTGTACGAATTAATGTTTAAACAAAATCCTAAGAATTACATGACTTCAGATTTTAAAACATTTGGTAAACGCGCATAAAAGAAATTTTGATCCCAACGAACAAACCATGGGGCATAGAGGGCTCAAATATACAAATATTATTAAGTCTCTTTTACAGCAAATGAAACAGCAAGATATAGATTAACAAAAAAAACATAGTCGTAAACTTAGAGTTGGTAGAGCATCACAGCAGACAGAAATAGGTAAAGAACATACTGAAAAAATTGGGTTTGGCAGAGCATCGCACACCTTGGTAACATACAATGAAAAACCAATAGAGTACATTTATTGGGATGACGTAAATGAATTGGTTGAAAGATTAAAGTTATTAGTAGCCTCCAAGCATGCTGGCAACACATCAAATGATAATGAAATTACAGCAATTATTAATGAGCTGAAAGAAGCAGGTGTTATATATTAAAACAAATAAAGTTTTACCAGCAGTTTAACAATGCCTCTTAACAAGTTTGGTCAATCCCTTAACCATTCTAATCAAAATTCATTATTGTCAAATTTACAGTATGGTAACAATGTACTAAAATATACTCCCGATGGTAATATAGATATAGAAAACCTAAAAATATGTAATGTGAAATCACCAACTTTAAATGCAGATGCTACTAATATGGGTTATGTTGATCAAATATAT